AGAGCCCTATCCAAGTAAGCTTTCCAATAAAAAACAGTTGCAAGTACAGGTGCATCTTATATAATTATGTCTCCGCCTTCCAGAAATTCATACCTAGGCAGTTTAAATTCATCACGCTTGATTTGCGAGTTGAGCAAGGATACTTGCCGATGAAGGATCTGGACTATCCGACAGACTTGCAAATGTACTCAATACAATCGATCTGTGACCGATGCGTGCAGTTATCCGATATATGATGCCACGGCACGAGTCGAGAAGTTACGGACATCGCAGCTTCACAACACAAGCGCAGGATATATGAATGACTAACACACAACCTTATGAGGGCTTCACATGAAATGTATGGCCCAAGCATGCAATCACCAATCCACCCCTACACTAAGAGAATACGTTACTACTAGCTACGTGAAGCTTGATCCGACTAAACTATACGACTACCGAGTGATTTGACTTTTGAATGAAGGTTCCAATCCTATCCAGTCACACATATAGTTGTCTACAGCAAACCACTCTCATAGACAATGCATTTTCACTACAATAATTTGTATAGAGCCGAATTCGATTGAAACTACAACACTAGATCAAATTATTCACTCCTACTTACCGGCCGTTCCTTCGAATTGTCTCCCTTGTAGGTAAAACTTTCAATCCTACCCATATCACACATGTAGTAGTCTGCAGCTGGATAGGAAACCTTCGGTATGGGCGAAGTCACAGCTGTCCGATCGCCATGTCGAAACAGAATCTGATACGAAATTCGTTGCCTTATCAGTTGTGATATAATGTGTCGTATTGTATCGTAACGTGCCATACTGTGTCGTATTGTGTGATATTGTATCGTAGATTGTCGTACTGAAGTCTGTCAATGACTTGTTTCGAATGTATCTAAAAATGCCACGTCATATTGTGTCAGTCCGTGTCATAAAATAGGACTATATATGTATTTGGACAATTAAATTTTGTCATCCCAACAACATCACAAATCTAGTATATTATCATCCATCTAATGATACTAGTATGGCCGCCGCCAATATGATGGCTTTCAACGTATTGTTCCCACGCCTAATCTCACCGTGACGTAATGTGTCGCATTTTATTGCGCCATCCAGAACTTCTATTGGTACTGCACGAAAGTCAATGGGATTGAGACAGACACCCTCTGTGCTGCCACGGCATTTCACGATTCGAGTCACTCATAACACATGCATGCTAATGTGGCAGATGTATACTCACGAGACTATAGTGGATGTTTCGTCGCTCAATGTGTGCTATACTGGTATCAAAAATTAAGAAAAGCCACTCCCCGACGGCTGTGTCATAATATAGACTTATCAATGCACTTGCCGCCCAAAATGGTATAGGTATGAAGGAAAAACATTATTTTTACTGATCAGACTGGGCCTAAGGCACACACTTGTCGCAGGACAAACTGGTGTTAGCAGGACATATTTAAAATACACTACTGAAACATGATAAGGCTACAACACACATCTGCATTAAAACAAACTTGATTACACACATGTATAATTGGGTTTTACACTTATGACAGGACAAAATTGTTTTGTGCACCGGAGACAGGAAGGAAATAGGTTCCGTTTGTCTTCTGTAATAAAACATTACTTGCTTGCATCAGGGCAAACTTGGTATACACACCTGTGATACGTTCCACCTAATGAATAAACCTATTGAATCTTTGGCTTAACAAGTGTAGCTGGAAACAACTGTTTACACACCTGTGACATGATGGGTATGTATGTGGAGTCCTTTGGCGCAAACGTAGACGACTCTGCCTTCCAGTCCGAAGCGAATGGATCGAACGATGCCCCTACATACTGCACTGTTTGTGCTACCAACTGTGAAGTGTGGGAACAGATGGAGTACGTTGGAGCGAGTAGTATTCCAAGCAGAAGTATTTCGTGATTCTCATGTGGCTGTATACCTATGTCGAATCAACCTACGAATCGTTTCAAAGGGTTTCAAACTAGCATCTTCATGTGTTCAAACTGTGACATTGTGGGTTATGTTATTACTCACAGATATGGCGATCACTTCACATTGGGTCGCCGGATGGTAGGCGATATAAGTATATGATGCGAAGCAGTCAGAAAGCTACCGACTGCGAGTGATACAAACACACTCGTACAGCGTTTCAACGAATAAATTACTGCTATCGCCAACTAACGTTTCAATTCGAGTAAAACCAGGGACTAAGCAGAAGATAGCCGTAAATAAAATCATGTGAAGTACTTAGGCAGAGGCATCATGCAGTATGAGAACTATCACAACTATATAAATGTTTCAAGGAAACAAATCCATTTTGGCGACGGACTTGACGATTGCATACAAAGCACAAAGCACGATTGTACATGGCGGGGCCCGCTCAAAGGGACAATTAAGAGGGAATAGGCCAGCAATATGAATCTATCTCGAACCATAAATGGTAAGTATCGTTTATAAAAAAAAGTCTCCGTTACGTTGATAGTCCATATTCAATAGAACGGTCACTTCCAGAACCCGACTGAAATGCTTGAGTAATAGAAACTTGGTTTCAACGGTAACTTTTTTTCCTGGGAGGCCAAATTACTCTATGCACTATAGGTAAGACAGCTGCAACAAGCAAAAACTCTAAGGTAATACTAAGCACCACAAACGACCACATGCACAATTCATACTGACCGCGAGTACAGAATGAAAATGGCGCTTCTGTACGACAAAACTTCCGGTCATCGAATACTCAGACGCAGATTTGAATCAAAAGTTTTCAAGTAGCTGTCAGGTCATTGATGTGTACGTGTCACCTCACACCACACGGCAGCAAGTGTCATAGTGGAGCAACAATAGCAAGGTGTGCTCATTCACCCCACTTGTCTATAACTCGCGCCCGTCCCACTAACAGCATTAAATACACAGATCGGCCACATGGTGTCTAGCTGCTCTAATCATCCGAATCACAAAAACAGAACCAAACTGGAACCAGAACAACTTAGAGTTGTGGTCTTGTCCAAGACATCTACAACCCATACTCAGAAAATTACAACAACAGTTGCAAACGTGGGGTAATCATCAGCTACCTCGATTGTCTACAACGTGTACTCAAGAGTCTAAAAGATAAGCAACAATACATTGAAAGATGTTTAAATATACATTCTACACATAGCCCAGAACGACCAAGATACACATCACTGGGCGATTTACTCACTACAGTCAACCATGACTCATACCCAAAGTAGCGAAAGAGCCAAGGCTACAGCAATGACCACGACAGACGGTTTCCGCGAGAAAGAGACTGCAAACAGGATCCAGAGTAAAGCGTATGTCAGTTGTGTACTGTCAGTTATGTTGGAAT